ATAATTAATGCTGTCTTTGCCAGCTGTATGTAGCTGTGTATGTTATGCACATCACGTACATCATTCATAATTGTTTCTGAAACATATCTGCAGTGCATATTATGGAATATGCATATATAAATAAATCAATTACATTCTTGTTCAAAGCAAATAATTATAAAATGACTGCAGAGTACACCTATGATAGATGCACATTGAACTTCATATTTTGTTAACATACAAAAGAAGATCATCATTTCCTTATGCAAATATTCTTTTGTGAAACAGGCAAATGGCGTACATTCGTGCCCAGGACACAAACCAGAAAGGTTGCTCTTTAATAGTTAATTAATCAGAGGTCATTTTTTTCTTTGGAGAAAGACTACATATTTTCTATTAGTATTTCAGTATAACTTTTTTTGTATTATAAATTCACATTATTCGATGTTCATCTGAGGGATTTTGTTTCAGTGGAGCTAAAAATACCAGGACGTTGCAGTGATACAGATCTTTAAGAACGTTAAGTGTGGATGCTCAGTGGGGTGTTGTCTTCAAAGCAAGTGGAAAATCCTGAAAGAAACTTGTTACTACAACAGCTGGGAATGGTTAGAAATCAGTGGTTAAAAGACTTGGTACAGACCTTAGGTGTCCTGCAGGGGCATCACTGCACTCCAATACTGACTTACTATGTAATAACATACACATTAATGTCCTGGAGAAACCATATGAATAGTTGTCAATCCTTTCACACCTTTTCAAGACTAGGATATAGTTATTGACAGACACGGGAAGAAAAAAGTCAGGAACATTGTTGCATATTTAAAGGGGCTATGTTATATCACTTTAAAAGGCCTATTTCGATCTGTGAATAATTCTATCTATGCGCAATAGCAAAATGTCAAGCGAACGTACAGCCGGGGAGATTGTTTAAAAATAAAACTGTTTCTTCCTGCTGGTCACACGTACCTATTATGCATATCCTTCAGTATTCTTTTAGATATGCTCGTAAATGTTTTGCTAATGGGACAGTTTATTGAAGATGCCCAGTTAGGTGAAAGCATAGCCAGAACTTTGATGATGCTAGTTTACAGCTGAGTACTAACAGTTCAAATGCTATTCGCTAAATTGTAAATTGTCGGGAATTCGAAATTAAGACAAAACGAATTTAACATTTTAGACCAAAATAGCTGTACTAAAAAAAATAAATAGAAATTCACTTTGAATTCTTTTCACATTCCCAACAATTCACTTTTTAGGGAATAACCCTGTATGCATCAATTTTTTTCTCAAATATTTGCTATTTCTGTGTGTTGATAAAAGTAATAGCAGAATAAGATGGGACTTTATCATTTTATGCATGCATTTATTCCTTTAAATGCTTTTCTTCTTGTAACTGTCCTGTCCAACTATATTTGTACACGCCACCCTGCTATCATCATGCTTTAACACTTATAATGGCCTTACAGCTTGTAGCTAGACAGAATTACATGGTTTGTCACACCTAAAGTTCAGTAGTTTTGCAAGCTACCAGTTTTTGAGAATGGAGATGATCTCTCAGCAGTGTAATACTATGTGCTAAAACTGTAAACCCCCTCAGTTATACATTAACCTGTAAATTGTCAGGAATTAAAAATTAATTTCAAATTTTAGACAAGTTGTTAGTTTTATAGTTGTGGCCGAAAATTCACTTGAGGTCCATACAAATCATACTTTAATGGCTAACAATGCATCTTTAGCCAGTGTAATGTATATTTTTAGTATTTTATAGAAAACCTGCAGAGATCTGAAACTTCCAATAGATTACTGTCGATGGGGATTATGGCAGAAGATAGCTTAGTAGATATTTTTCATTATCAATGAAAAGGTGTATCCATTATTACAATTGGGACTTTTGTTTATTGTATGTGAATAAACAACTAGGAAGATATAGAACAACACCAGCTCCTCCCACAGAGAAGGGGAACCGGACAGGACTAAACAAGACAGCTTGAACTGATTTAAGCCTATGCATGGGTTCCTGATAATGGAAAAAAAATACTGAAAATGATTTTTCTTTCTTGTATTGAAATGGCCAGATGTTTTCCTGTTGTATAGCCATTAATGGTTTTACATATCATTTTATGTTTCTTTCTCATTTCTTTTAAACATACCGCTTAAACATTGAACATTTATATATAGATATGACTTTTATAAAAATATACTTTACACATTTTCACACCATAGCCTAGCCACCAATAACACAAATACTGCCGATGACAAATGCTAGGCCACATTTTTATGAAAAATAAAAAAAACTTAAAGGGTTACTCCAACCATCATACAGCCCACTGTAGTGGTTATGAGGCCAGGAGTACCCTCACACCATTCACTGGTGTTGAGCAAATCAATTTACTATGGTTTGCTTGCTTACAAGATCCTAATAGGTGCCGGGTCTCCACTGAAGAATTATTATTTTTTTTTACTTGAAAAAGTTTTTATTGTTTTTACAAAGTTTACTGACAATGGCTGAACATACATCCACATGACAATGTTCCGGCAGTACATTCGACACAAAGATTTTTTTTAATTCTCAATCAGCTTCGTCAGACTTTACAATGATGTTATGCACATATTATATACATTACTCTGCACTGTAACATGATAAATAATAACTGATAAATTACATGGAGGAACAATCTGTCAAAATAACATATCAAAGTAACCCAACTAAAAAATAATGAAATGGAGTCAAATTTGGAAGGGTGTAGGAAAGGGGTGTATTATTTATGACATCTGACTTAGCAGAGCTGCAGCAGCTGAATGCCTATCCTGTCACTCATTTATTACTTAATAGCGTGAGCTGATCCCTCTGAGTCAATTAATTAGATTTTGTACATAGAAATTTCCGCAGAATTAATATTAGCCACGTCCAAACTTTCCAAAAACATGCAACAGAGGTGTTAAACTTGGTATGTGCAGAGTTTTACTTTGAAGACCTCAGACACCATGACAATGTCAAATCACTTAAATGGTCATGGTGCCTGGAGTAAACCATTTTTAACGCTTTTTCCATTGGAAAACTTTTATACCTTATTCGTTTTCAAATGTTTTTAAGTTTCACGGGCCTTAGACCACTTGCAAAACTCATTTTTCCAAGCTAGCATTATTGGATAATTTTTTAGATCAGAACAATCACTTATCGATAAGGAGAACATCACTATTATGGCATCAATTTCAATGATAATGCAAAGCGAGAACATATGACAGGGATGTTAGGAGAAAGGACAAAATAATAGAGCATTACTGTGAGGAGCATTGTTTAAAATGATCATATGATGTCTTAAAAATTTAACCACTCATAGATTTTCTGGCAAGATAAATCCCAAAAAACACTTTCTAAACCTTAAATAATTGTCTAGGTTGGAGTACATTACTTACTTGTGATAAATTTAGGATTACATTGTCCTGGTGTAAATTAAAGAATGTGGAGTGCAGCTGTGATGAGGTTCTTTAGTCTCAGAATAGGACTCTAATCTTTATGGCCCCACCCCAACATTGGCTACTAGAGCATGAAAAGGGAAGCTATGCACCGTAACACTAACTTCCTAGTGACCCCTTTTGGAATTTTTTTTACAGAAACTTTAAGCTATGATATGATGCTATATCTTGGAAAACCCTGCCCTATTTTGCAAACTGTTTTCAAGAAGAAGCAGGAAGGAAGTCTATTCTAGGCATGCCCCCAACTAGACACCAGGGACATCAGCACTTGAAGAACTCCTGCTTAATATAATTCGAAAAATAAGGTAATCTTCAAGTGAGGGAGTCATGAGTAAATCTTTTCATGCAGCACAACCCCAAACTTCATGTTTCACCACTGGAGTCTTTTAAAGTCATGGAAACTAGCTTTTTCATTTTCATTTTTCACAAACCAGTCCGATTACTGCATTTAGTGTTACATGTATTTAGTAGGTGTGCAAATGCATTGAAATATTCTTACACACCTTCCCGTTGCAGGTGTAATGGCCTTTGCTATGAATGCAAAACAAGTTTTATGGTGTACATACTTGAACAACTATCGCTCTCTTGGACAAAATTCTATGTTTTACTACCATAAATGTTCACTGTATAAATCAATGTAGTAAAATGGCAGCAAGTACATTACTTTCAACAGGTCGTTTAAAAGTTGTTTAGATCTCTGTAGCTTGCTAAATGAAGGCTTTATGCGCCATTGCGTATGATGGCGACATTATGCTATTTAGTGTGATCACTATAAAATTAAGTAATTCTCTTTACTATTATTAACTTTTCTGAAATTAATTTAGATTTCTTTTTTAATTGTCTCTGTCTTGTTAACAATGTACTTGGCATCTGAGAATGTAAAATAAATCATATTAATTACAACCAATGAGTTACGTGCATTCCATGTAAATAATTCACGGTTTCCTGATTATTTATTATTATGATCCATAAGGTCTTTGTCACATTCTGACAGCGGTACATACTGTTCAAATTCTTCATGCAATATCCTGCTGATTGGCTGTTGTGTGATAGGCTGACCATTTTTGAACCCTTGAACTCTGAAAGAAGGGGTTGCCATCTGAACTATGTTAAAAGTCAAGGAATAGTTTCCCTTTAATAACACGCCTTTCTCCTTAACAGTTGGTGGGAGATTAAAATAATCTAAGTGGATAAAGGACTCCAAGGAGATTCTGTCTTTTTTTTTTTTTTATTTGCTGCATGTCATTAAATAGACAAAAAAATAATTAAATTTAAGTTTACATTTGTACCTAAATTACAACATAACCCCCCAAATATTTATGCACTATAACAATTATTTTTTATGAATACCATCTCAACTGCGGAGTCTGCTCTTGATCCCCCTTAATGTACTGTCCAGCCTGTTTTGTCATCAGGTGCTGACATTCTGAGTTACAGCCATATTAATTGCTTGATAAAGGCTATAATCCCTTCTCTTTGAAGCCCTGGGCTGATTTTTAGGCAGCACTTCAAAAGCAGCACACAACTGAAGAGGCATGTGTCCTACTGGCCAGAACATTACATATTGCTCTATTTCTAACATACACATTTGAGTGTACCGAAAGTAGCGTAGTTTTGCTCTGTTGCAGACACGTTTGCAAGATTGTCATTGTGCTAAATATAACATGTGATCTCATCTGGAGATGATTGTTCTAACGCAGGTAAGATTGTTTCTTTTAGATATCTTAACTGATAGATTCAAATTATAGTCCCTGAGATAAACTTTCCCTATTTGACCTGAAGACAAATGGGTTCTAGCCCAATCAGCAGTGAAAATCATGTGTACAAAAGGTAACATAGTACGCATATTATTAATAATAATAATAAGAATAGAACCAACTATATTTAAATATATATATATATATATATATATATATAATGGCAAGCTATATGCAAATAGCATTTTTCCCTGTCTGTGTACTGTGAACTTGTAGTTGGTTCCAAATTGGAGAAGGAAGGGAAATGGTGTGACGTAATTATGGCAGTTGCAAGCATTTGGTCTGTATAATTAATTTATTTACTCTCTGCAGACATATTCTAGGCATTGGGCGCTCTTTTGCTATGCTGTTCTCTCGCCTGTTCTTTGATGCATTTACAGCTGCAGAAGGTTTCTCATATGGTTATGTCAACTGTGCACTCTAAAGGCAGTGCTTTGTATGACCCTGCAACACTGCTATTCAGTTTTGTAATGTCTTATTTGTCCGGGATTTCAATGCAGGAGGGTGATTTGTTTTGATGTTGTAGACTTTTTAATTCGAATCAGTAAGCATGGCTTGGAATATCACAGTATATTAATGAAGTTGCCACCAGAAATGCGAGAATGCTTACCCTTTGGATAAATTAGATGTTTCAAAAAAAAAAAAAATTGTCTCAGAATGTGGATCCACAAAAAAATAAATCACAGTTTGCATATTGTTCAATCAAATGTTTTTGTTATATGATTCAACATTTTGCTATTTAAAAATATATGTATATTTATATATAGACTTGAACATCAATACACTTGCACATATATACATATATGCATATATCAATGTATATAAAAATAATAATGAAATAAATAAATATATATATATTAATGTTATTATTATTATTTTTTTTTATATAGTATGCACACACACTTACACATACATGTGCAATCCATTCTTAACCTTCTGGGTGCCAGAGGATTGCATGCCTTACGCAATGTTTTGACGCACAAATGGTTATGTTTTCCTCATTCTTAAATGTTTATAAAAAAGGGGGTTTCCAATTGCTTCTTCTTTAGTTGAGAGGTCATGACTTATAATAGCTCATGTAAATATTCGCAACCTATGTGAATCCTTTGCAATCATCTTGCTTGTTAGAATACTGTAAGGAACAAAACTAAAATGCAATAGACACAAACACCTTGAGTGAATGCAATGTCAAGCATTTGTCTTTAGAAAAATAATTTAACAAACCACATTCAAAGACCATATGAGATGTATTTCAATAGACTTAACTACAGAAATAAGAACCTAGAAATTATGTGCCAAGAATAGCACAGAGCGTTTAGTAAGAGCTAATAAAAATATAAACACCAGGCAATCCAACAAATGTTTTTGTAAGGAAATAATCAGAAAATTTGTGAGCAACAGCGCCCTCTACATGTAGTTTTATTATTGTAATTAATGAAATATACAAAGATCCAGACTACATTTATTTCCCAGGTAAAACAAACTCAGGTGGCTCTTGTATCAATGAAGCTGTATTTTCAATTCATCATGTAATTTGCAATCCATAAGCAGGATAATGGGATTGTGATTGCTTATATCAAAAGATAAACATGTCTGCAAAATTCCTTTTAAAGAAATAGCAAATTTGTGTATGTCTGAAATTGAGAAAATGAAATGTGAGATATTATTGTTTGATTATCCACTCTGAATGTAAGCTCCACTGTACAAAAATGTTTTCCTGCAAAAAACAAAAAAGAACACTATCACCGAGTGGTGACTAATGCATGAGGTTAATATGGTGTAGACAATATAACCTTCCATTTAATTAAGGCGCAGTGTTAAGATATGAAAAATGTATTGTATGACCTTGGTCTGGTTATTTTTTTACATGTAATTTTTATATATTGTATGCACATATAACATACAGCCAAACACACATGTAGTTATTATTTTACTTTTTTTTTCTTACACATTTAAGCAATGAAAAGCAAAAAAATTAGAAATGTACAAAAATGATCATTTTTAATATAAACATCTGATTTGCATTTTACATGGTGGTTTGCATCCTTTCTACAAGTAAGCGTTAACATAGTATGTGTCACCTCAGCTGCACCATGCACCAATTAACTGAATGGTTGCAACTTTTTAATGTTGTCTTGACCAATGATTACTAGTTAAGCGATTTGCTGATAATTACAGTTTATCAATGTGCACCACATTTCAAAGTACATTCACAAAGAAACGTGAATCAATTTTAGCTCCCTGTGTTCTCTCTGAATCCAGTTGAAGACCAGATAATGGGAGTGTTAGATGTTGTCTTTGCCGTATTGCTTGAATGTATACATGCTGTCTAGAAGAAAAGGAAATAAAAAAAAATATACATAAAAAATGTAATAAAAAAATAAAATATGTAATATTGCTCCCTCTACACACACACCCACACACAGGTATAGTCTATATATATATATATACTCTCAAACACACACACATACACACATATATATATATATATATATATATATATAAAAATTGAAAAATTGAAATAGCCATTTAGCAAATTTCATATGTAAAACATATTCAAGATATCACAGTAGCAATTTATTAAACATGTTATTTACTAGCAAGAAAATATAATTTGATATCAGTTATTGTATTCTTCAACTCATTTCTTTAAGTGTGTGTATATATATATATATCTATATATATACACACACACACACACACACACACACACACACACGCACCTTATTAGACAGATAGATTATATATATGATAGATAGATAGATAGATAGATATTTTTTCTTGAGAGCATGGGCATAACAATGATAAATGTAAATGATAATCTATGTTATCCTCTACTCTTTTGAATATATTAATACATAAATATACATAGGTGAAGAATAGAATTTTCATCCAAAGTGTTTGGCTTGAAATATTTATAATGGCTTCTAAATGAACGCACAATTCATTTATTTGAATTATATTATTACATTAATGCACACATACCTGCTTGTATTATTTAAAGCAAAAAAAAAAGTGTATTTCCATTTGGTCCAGACACTCTTAGCTTTGGCTACATGCTACTTGTAATTTAGTCTATTTTGGATGTTTAACCATCTGGTGTCAAAGGATTTTGAAATGGATTATAAAGTAATGCATCACCATGTTTTAAGCACCTACAGAGTGGTGGACATATAATTGACACATTGTTCTCCTAGTAATATCTGCGATAACAAATGGAACAATACAATCTTGTTCACTTCCAGTCCTGCTTGATATACATGAAGACATCAGCTGTATTGATAATGTTAAAACATACAGTACACAGTCAGGACAACGCAGACACGATTCCTTGGATCACTTTGTCCAGATCAAGGACAATTTAAAGTAGTGAACGGGTAGTGCAAAATCATTGTTTCTTATGTTCTGTGCTTGTGACTGCTGTAATAATCAAGGCTGATTTACAAATGCAGCCTAGAAGGTTTCTCAGCTTCCTGCCGTGTAGAAGACTGTTACTTTGGCACTCACACTTGTGCCTTTGTAATCACCACTCAAAAACTGTGCCCTGGTACTTCCAATTCCCAGTCTCTTGATTGAACACCTCATTCTGTGCTAACAAGGTGTCCATGCTTCCTGAACGCAGACCGCAGTCAGAAAATTGTTAATGGTTTCGCTCATTAAGACTTGTTCCACTAGTTTTGGTAATTTGGTTACTCTAAATTGTAGTTAGATTTTTTTGCTTAAACTCTAAAAATGATGATAAAATTGACAACTAGCAAAAGCCACCACTAGCGGTTACTGTACATGTCCAGTGTATTATACTTCATTAGATAAATAGACTATCTTTCTATAATATATAATATATTGCAGCAAATTAAAGCTGATGTGTTCACTTAACACAGAACAAAAAGTGTTTATACGCAAACAAACCAAAAAATTTGTAATATGAACTTGCATCACACAGACCAAAAAACAATAATAAAACAAATTAGTACTCATCGCAAAGTTTTTTATTCAAATTTTTAATATAATTTTTACAGGAACTTATAAAATGTAGTTCTGTCTTTTTAAATGGTATAAGAAATGATGTAATTAATAGAAAAAAAAATCTTATGGAAACTATTTAATAGTTTTTCACTTTATTCTGCTTTACATTTCTTAACACAATTCTAGCGTTTGGACTTTGTAGTAGAATTAAAACAAAATCCCAAAATGTGGATTAAATGAGTGAGACATTTGTCTCTAATTGAAATAATACATTTAAATTATTTATGTTGCAAATATTTTTATTTTCTATATAAAAATAGTTATTATTGGCATTCTTTCTTAAAATAAAGATTACAGACTGAAATGCATGCTTCTGGTGTAATAACTAAAATTTTATAAACATTTACAATATTCATGAATGTCAACCGACGAACCTGCATTGAATTTATCAGAACATAAAGAATATATGAAAATAGTTTTAATGGGTAAGGAATAATGTAGGAACCTAGAATCATTTGTAGCATATGATTTCATTCTTTGTAACATACAATACATTATAATGCATTGTTTTAAAGGTTTGTTTTACCTAAATATCCGTGCTTTCCATTTTAATATCACAGTTATTAAACAACAGGGATTTGTTTTACAAGAACTGTGATTTTTGCTATGTTCGTTGCATATAATTTTAGAACATGCATATACATTTTAATGCACAATAAACTAAAATTAATTTCTTATCAACTTCATAGCTTACAGTACAAGTTTGATGCTTTTAAATATTATGAATTTAATCAGCTGCAAATCAGAGGATTATAACTTCAATCTCAGTTTAACGCATACAATTTTTTATGCAAATTTTCCTCTTTTTTTGCTTCAATTCAATTGCTTGGTGTAAAATCATTAAATGCTGTGAATGATTAAAAAGGTATTTAATCCCTTCCACTTATATTAAAGAAAAAAGTCCGTGGTTGCTGTTGACTGTCATGTATTTCTTAAAAGCACTACATTTATTTGAATACGATGTTTGATGTTGGTTTTACCCTATCTCTCCACGTTTAACTTATTCACTACCAATGTGGAACACAAAGGTTGATCAAAGGTTTAAACAGCCTTTAGGAGCAATAAAGAACAGACATCAACATGAAGCATTATTTAAAAAAAATACAGCATAATAAAGTGTTCTTTTAATTAGCTAACAGGAAAATATTTGCTTAGTTTTTTTAAGACAAAAAATATATCCTGTTTCATCACACCATTTTCATCAGTACACTATTAAAACCATGTAATAAAAAAGTATTTCTAGTAAGTGTTCAGTGTCCCACAATGTAAATGCTGTTTGTTGCACACATCGATCAGCAGAATTGATGAAATCTCAATACTAAAATTCAGAATACAACATAACTCCTTCACTGAAATCAAAACACTCCTAAACCGCTTGCAATATATTTAAAAAATATTATTTAAATACTCGCTGTTTTCTTTCCTAGTGTTTCCTACACTTTTCTTAATATTTTAACCCCTTAAGGACACATGGCATGTGTGACATGCCATGATTCCCTTTTATTCCAGAAGTTTGGTCCTTAAGAGGTTAAACATGAAAACTTTAATGTAATGTCTTCCTCAACAAACTAGCATTCTAAGGGTTAAATGTATTGACAATGCAGTCTGTGAAGGCATACGCAGGATTAGACTCAGTCTTATAATTAATGCTAAGCAATCTCAAATAACTTGTCAGAACGAAAAGAACTAATGTATTGTACTTTTACAAAACGCTGCTCATATACAAAATGTTGAGTCGGGGTGTGTTTATAACTTGCTAAACAGCAGAGTTGTAAAAAACTTGCAATTTTGACATAGTCTTTTAATGCCGCTATCTTTGGAAAAATAAACCTTTTTTTTGAGAATGTAGAGATTTGAGCTTTAATCTAATTTGTACTTGTTTTACTATTCCAACAGAGATCACTGTTTAGTTAATAAGCCTCTACATGTATAACTATTACATTTCTTCTTTGTATTGCAAGTGAATTAGTACATCATTTGATATTTAAATAAGGTAACATAGGTATTTCTAAAACATACAGAAAAAGCTTATTATATGATAGCAATTTGATTTTAACTTTAGAGGTGGCTGTTGTGAAACATGTTTTGGATATAATAGCAATTAACATGAAATCATAACTCTATATTTGACTATATCATGATTGTAATAATTTCATGAGATAATAAAAATACCCAAAAATGTATTGTGATGTATGCGAATGAGCTATACATTTTCAGATCTAATACAGATACATAACAATTAAAAAAATTACGGGATTTATTCTCTAACATTGACTTATAATGAATTCACAGTCAACCTTAAAAATGCAGGCCTAAGTAGTTGAGCTGGAAAAAGGTATAGCAGAGATTTGTCTTTTATTCAACTCAATGTTTAGTGAAAACTCTACAAAACATTCATTAATGGGGACACTCCGGACAGCAATATAAAATCAGCTAATCTGATACATTTTGGGCTAATTGCGCAGTTGTACTTTTTTTCTCAGCAGTTCTGTATCATTGAATCAAAAATGAGAAAAAAATTAAAAAATTAAAAAATTGCTGTTTAGTAGATATACACCCAATGAAAACATGCATGCATTTAATTTTATTTTTTTTCATTTGGGTTATAGGTATAAAAACAGCTTGTTATAGCTGTAGTTCCCTTGTCTGCATTTCCAACCCCTCCCCTTTTAACTACGCAAAGAGTTTTTGCGACTGTCCAATCACAAACCTCCTAATGCAACTCAATGAGAAGTCTTTGCATGGCAGGTGCTTCAGTGAGCTAATCAAATCTGGAAGTAAAAGGATCGGTTATCTGATTGACAGCAAGGGGTTTAACAAGGTAAATTTATAAAAGTGCACATTTCTAGTGAAATCTGCGTTTTATTATAATTAAAAAAAGGGACTCACTCTTCACACATAAACCATTTCAGTAACTTAAAGTGATCTAGGAGTGTACCTTTAATCATGACTCTTTTTTCACACAAACTGTTCCCGACAGGGTATGTACAGAACTCAGCCAAAGTGACCAGAGATTAAAGTGAAATGCTAAAGACAAGTAACCTACAGTGAGGAGGAGAAAACAGCCAGGTAGACACATAGTAAGTATATTACTACACATATTTATGAATATCTGTCTTTTTTTTACATTTTACTTTAGCCCTGCATGGAGACCTTATTGACATTGGACTGTTTTGTTACTGGTTCTTAACTTGGATTTTGTTGTGGGGAAAAGATGAGCAGTAGCAACCTAGGAGCTGCTTTTTGGCTATGAATATATACATTCACAATTCTGGTTTGTCAATACAGAGTGCGATTACTACAAATGGTACGATTGATTGAAAATGGAAATGCTGGTGATAATTATGAATACGGCAATAATTTACATTATACTTGTAATGTTGATCTCTGCTCTTTTATAATTATTGCCAGCAATTCCATTATTGAACAGTATTGCAATTCACACTGATTTGTCAGTCAAAATTAGCCTGTCTCTTGAAAGAGACTGGCTAGCACTGCACTCTCTTTTCTGCTCCATTCATATTGACATATTAATCCCAGCATATGGAGAAGCATTTAAAATGCAGGCAACAGTACACTGCACGCTGCACAGCCTCTCACAGCATGAAGAAATGATTATTTACTTCATTCTGATTGGATCTTAGCCAGCTTTCAAAGCAGGAGTTGGTTGAAAGTTTAGGAGGAAATGACAGACTAGCAGTGAAGGGACTTCTAGTCTGAAGAAAGGACAGATAGATTAGATATTTGCCATATAGTAGTTACAAATAGATATAAAAAAAAGCATAATCTTTAGACCATACAGTCGTTTTAGGTACACTGAACATGTGTATTATATGGTAGTTTTTTTTAATTTTATATATACGGCTGCATACTTACCAAACTCATAAAAAAAATCACAACATAAGAATGAAATTACACTAATATTTGAATACCTAAGACTTTGTAGAACCACAAAGTTTTAGGAAGGTACTATACTTGTAAAATTAAGTAGTGGCTAGAAGGGGACTGGGCCAGTACATTGGCTTGCCAGTAACACTCACTGATGTAAAGAGGCATATCATGCTAGCACACTTGTGCTCCAAGATACCAGACAGCTCTGCAGAGCAGCTAACAAGGGCTCACCATAAGCACTGTGCTGCTGGAGTGACTTGTATAGGCAGAGGTACATTGGAAAAACCTTGTGTGACAAAAGCAATTTAATAACTTGCTCAATGTATGGGGCACTTCTGTGTACATCAGACAAACAACAAATAAAATAAAATGAGACCGAAGACAAAAAATCAGGACCCCCTTTTCAAATAAGTATACTCGGCCAGTATGCTCTTGCTAGTGAGTTTTAGGTTTTTCTGTTTTGCTGTATAAAAATAAACATTAAAGAAGAAATGATATGCACATGCATGACCGAGGATTTCTGAACAAATGGTAACATTAAACAACAAACAGGTTTTCTATTGTTATATGATTCTGCAAAGCAGAATTGAGTATGCGAATATGTAAATATTCAAATATAGGTTTTATATTAAATGTAAACTGTGCAATGCACCTAATGCTGCTTTAAGGTATTCAGCAGCATCATGTAAATAAAGACACAAGGTGTTCTATTTGAATAATCCCTACTCAAGTTTTGTATCAGCGTCAACAATTAAATGCTTTATGAAATTAAACTGTGTAATATACCATATGCAGCTTAAAGGGTCTATTCTTTTCTATTATACAAATGAAGACAGGGCTATGTTGTGTTAACTGATGTTATATAGGCTCTCATTGCCTCTTTACACATGATTTACACATTTTGAAGAAGTTCATTTAAAATGCACATGATGCATTCCCACATTTCCAATGGTAAATCCGAGATCTCTAACTTTCAAACTAAAGCAAACTTTCACCAACAGCAAAACATATGTCCTCCAACATACCCCAATACATATATGATGTTAAACTGCACTCAATCTAGTAATAGAGAAATTTATGAAGGCAGAAAAAATACATTAATACATTTAAATGAAAATGTATTTATTAACAAACACTATGCATATTTTGAAGTCATTTTAACAGCGGTTTATATTGTTAAAGTTCAAGAAATAGTCTTATAGCTCTTATCTGGAGCACAATAATATTAAAGCTGCACAATGTAGGTATACTCTAAGCACCATAATCAATACTGGTAAACTGACAAACCATTTAAAAATAGTTTGACAATTAAATGTCTCTGTCCGTGCCCTGGTCCTTCTAGTGTGAGGTAGTATAATATAGCTAAAGTTCATACGTACACAATATTATATAACCTTATAGCAAGCTGAGACATTATTCATTAGCTGAGAGCCATCAGTTGGTACTACACTTTTTTTTAACATAAAATAGGAACTATTAAATGTCTATTAAAGAGACACTATAGCCACCAGAACAATTACAGCTTATTGTATTTGTTCTGGTAAGTAGAATCATTCCCTTCAGGCTTTTTGCAGTAAATACTGTCTTTTCAGAGAAAATGCAGTGTTTGCATAACAGCCTAGGGTTGCCTCCACTGGCCACTCCTCGAATGGCTATTAGAGGTGCTTCCTGGGGCAGTGCTGCACACTGTGCCATTCAGTGTCTCCAGCCTCTGCATGCAGACTCTGAACTTTCCTCATCCTAGGGATTTCGGACTGAAATAAATTCATTAATTGAATATATTTAACATTTTGTGTCAGCATGCAATGTGTGGGTACATCCGTTGCTTCCCTACAATTGCAGTGAATGCTCTGTACGTCTTCATTGGCTCTCTATGAAAAGCATCTCAATGGATACATACATTTTGATGATTTTATCGAAAGAGTATTAGGCTGCAGTGTATGTGATATTGGGATAGAAGTATGTGTAATACCTTTTTAAAGTTTTTTTTTCATTTAAAAGAAAGGGGAGCTAGGTAATTTAAAGCAATAAAGAAACACATTTAATAAAAAAAAATGTACGTATATACATTGGCTGATGTACCTGGTTTATGTTTAGATGTTTAAAATCTTTGAAAATACAGTTACCCTTGTTGGAAACTGATGATTTCTTCTAAAATAGGACTAAAAATACTTAACAGACAATAGTAAAAAAAACAAAAAACAACACGTAGCTATAAACTTATATCACAAACTCTACTAATGGTTTTCTATTTTGTGGTTTTTTTAATTTATTTTTTTAATCTCCCAGATGTTTTTCGAGTTTTCGTCTATAAACATATAATCTACACATGGGGAAATGTTCTACTTTGATGGTTGAGAGGTCCTTGCCAGGAATATGCTGAGAATATGTTCTCTGCTTGTAATCTGTATTTTCTTTGCAGCATATTGGGTACTGTAAACTAGTTAGCACATAAAATTAAATTATTGTAATTGGCATATATGTTGCAGTTCTTGAATTTCTAAAAGAAGTATTGCTAAACAAATTGTTATAACAAATTACTAGCTTTTAAAAGAAAACTATCTTGAAATTATACCATTCAATAAAACATTGAAAATCGTCTTGCATAAGCCTTTTTTAACGTGATGTTCCATTTTCTTTAACATTTATATGAACGATTTAACAATTGGCTCCACAATCTATTACAGTCCAGGCACAGCAAGGCCACATAAACATAGTTTTTTTTTGTTTTTTTTCTTCTCATGTGTAACTGATATATTAAATTAACTAGTTGCCAGAAAAAGTGTACCAAAGACAAATTAGTTGCAATTGGAATCACAGAAAAAAATCCAGAGACATACTGAACAACATTCCAAATAAAGAAACAACAATTTCAATGCAACTTAATGTAATTTAAAATGAGAACAAATAATCCTATCTACCAGACTGGTTTCTAAACATATTTCTGTGAGTATCATTGCTGTGGATCTTAGACATACCAACAAAATGAGGCTCCTAGAAGAGAAGGGCATCAGATTAGAAAAACGAGAGAGAGGGAAGTGGGCCCAAAAGTAGGGACATTTGGGAGGTATGTTGTGATATTTACTATCAAGTCTTGTGCCCTTACTTCTGAATGTAGCGCCACTTTCAGCGTATTTTTTTTTGTTATTGCATAAGTGCTAAGTTTGAATAGCACCAGAAGCAAAATTGGCATAAGTGCCACATTTACAGCTGCAAACAACAGACCTCACTGCTCACTACTATTTGGAGCCATAAAACTGCCAGCAGTGTTAAAAAGAAAATCCAACTATCACAGTGCAGTCCTAGACAAGTCTCTCTCCCGCAAGGCATTTTGCAGGGCCGCTACCGGGTTGTATATTTCCCACTGCATGGGACAGAGGAACTCATTGCTGAGTTCCTTTGATTCATAGCAGGATCTGGGGGCCCTCATGCATTTTTCTTGATAAAAAAAGTTCAAGAATACTGAGCTGTTCTATCCCACTCTGTTCTGAATCTCATGGACCCAATACATACATTTTGTTTTCCATATTTTATTTATATTTTAACATCACAAGAGAGAGCAGAGTATTGTAATACTCTTTGCTGTGTCTTTAAATGGGTTATTTTGAAGGATGGTGGACATGCCCAATTAAGCTATGTTAGCTTGCCAGACTTGTGTTGAATGGTTAGTAGAACACCATATCCGGTCCTACTAGGTTTAGGAATGATACCAGTGACTGTTTTTTTTCATATTCAGACAGATAATATAGTTTAATAAACAGCTGACGGCATAGAAATTTAAATAGTGACAGAGATACTCTATCTACTAAATGTTATTTTGGCATAATTTTGCCATGTCACCAAAAAATAAAAAAAATAAGCATCAAGCACCTGTAATTTGATCCAAAGAGATTAACTTTACTTGTTAAAGCTTATGGATGAAAATAGTTTTTGAGATGCAATGTTATCAATTTCATATTTTATTTAAAAAAACATACAAACATGTAATAGTGTCTCACATGTCAAGACCATTGGTCAAGAATATTAATGCTTTTTACTCCCCTCCACTCTGCACCAGCGACTTTTGAATGAAAACAATTCTAAATAAAGCATAGGAAGAGTACCTGGAAAGTATGAAAGCTTTTTCAAACAAGAGATGTGAATCATAGGTCCATA